GTTTCATATATTGTGTTAGCTAGCTAATTAATAGAGAGAAGTGTCCTCTCTTATGTCCATGCTTGGTCGACGCTACGTACTATATATACATAAGTGTTAATGAACCCAATATCATAAATTTCTTGTTTTTAACCAGAAATTCATCTATGATATTTGTGTTAATGAACCCAATATCATAAATTTCTTGTTTTTTGCACTCGATGATCTTCAATCTGCATAATATATTGAGGATAATTAATTATAAATACATGAAATGAAAGAGCCAAGCTATATAGAGACTTAATGACAGAAATAGTACTTACAGACAGTAGCAAAAGACCATTAATTTATCGAGGGCCTTTTGATTGAAGAACGCGAAGAACTCATCAAATGAAACAGTCAACTGATCATTTGCAACGAGGTCGTGCTCCTCTTTAATATTCAGATACAAAGCATTCGTACCCTCAGACTCTCAGCAGGTTTCCATGTATCAATTATGGAATCTTCGCATATTTGTGTCAGAGATTTTTCATCTTTGACGAGAGGCTTCCCGTACTCGTATCTGTGTTCGTCCACCTCCAAGAAATTAGGAAGTGCATTGTCAGGCAGGTAATCATCAAGATTGCCATAACCGGCCACCGTCCCCGGAGCATTAGACACATTGAGCGGGGGGCACGATTGTTGTGCTTGTTCGCCGAGCTGGGCAATTTTTTTCCCCTTTGCTCGTTCTTTTGACCTTTTAGCACTGATAGTAGTTCCCGACCGTTGGGCTTGGAGATATGTCTGTTCAGTAATGCGCTCATAGTTGGTTCTCGGCGGAGACTTTGGTGGTTTCCTCAGGACATCGATAGTGCGTTTTGCTTTCACCGGATCTATCTTCTCCTCCAGAGGTGGATGTCTCTTTACTTTCACCCCTTCAAAGAACTCCTTCACATGGGTCCGCACAATCGTATCGTTTTCCTCCTCGGTCCTCTCGTACGATAACTTCTCTAGAGGCTTGAGAGATGGACCATATCTGTATTGCCTCCCGCCTCTGGTTGTGCTGCTAGACGCCGTAGCAGACGGAGCGGTTGCGGCGTCTGTCTTCTTTCGTGCTTGCTTACGAGGCGGAGGAGAAGGAGTACGACGCGCCGGAGCAGCCGGGGCGGCGGCGGGTCTCTTCCGCCCTTGCTGGCGAGGCTGAGAAGGAGGAGGCTGCTGGCTGCTCGGGAGCGCCGGCGCAGGCGGAGAAGGAGGCGGAGTGCCGCCACACGCCGGAGAAGGAGGCGGAGTGCCGCCACGCGTGCCCTGATCGTCACTCGCCGGAGGAGGAGGCGGTGGAGGAGGCGGAGTGCCCTGATCGCCGCTTGAAGTAGGGGCTTGCCTTGATAAGCAATACACCGCTCCTCTCCCCTGCCCACATGTAATGCACTAATATCTTGGTATGATTTTGTTCCGGTCGTTCTAGCTTGATCATCTTAGTGTGGCGCCACTCTCTGGTGCAATCTCCGCTCCTTGTGCCACCTCGACATGTCCAGATCTGCACACTGAGGCATTTTTTATGCAAGGCGAGCAGCGATAGCACTCCGTTGGTGACGCTTAGCCGTGGCACGTCCCTAAAGTTGCGGCCGAGGCGGCCCGGTGTGACCGAGAGCTTCGTCAAGGTGGCATGGCCCGTCTCGACGCTCGCGTCCAGCGTGTAGAAGTTTGAATTGTCCCTGAAGAGCCAGTGTGCCGCTCCTTGGCACACAACCGCGTTGAACTGTAAAGGCGCCAGCTGAATGCTGTGCTCCGAAGGGTCGAAGCAGTTTTCAGGCGCGCTCCAGCTCGACTCATCGGACGAGAACATAGAGATGCTGTACTGTTGGTTGTCGTTGTCGAAGCCAATTATTAACACTTTAGAGAAGGCCGAGCAGGTTGATAACACCGGCTGCTGCTGCTGTTGTTGTTCCTTGAAGCAATGGTCTGCAGTGGTTAGGATAGCACAACCTTTGATTCTGAAAAGCCTGTCGCACTTGAGCGTGGGTAGCACGCGGCTCGTGCCACTGAGCGGGTCGGACACGGCCAGGTTGAATTCTTTGTATGCGTCCCGAAGGTGATGGCCCGCGACGAGATGCACGAGAAGAAAGCCGCGGCGCGAGGCGAGTGGCAGCTCCCGTAAGTCGCCGGCGTCGGCGAAGCTCGCGATGGGGCTGCGAGGCCGAAAGGGCGACGAGGGCGCCGGAATAAAGGATGGCACATACCTAATTTTGTAGCTCCGTCGATCAGGTGATCGATATTCCTCGGCGAAGAAGCCGAGGAGGAAGGAGGGTTGTGCTACGAGGAACCACCATCGCTTGCACGTCGCCGCGCAGCGGAAGAGGTGTGGGGCATCCGGCATGCGTACCAGGATTTCCAGGACCACGTCGTCCGGCAGCGTCTCCATCGATCTTCCTTGGGCCAGGCGGGTTGGTGCTTGCGACTTGCGAGAGCTCTCTACGTACGATTGAAGGCCAATCTGATTGCTATACGGATGATATATATAGAGTGAAATGCACCGTAGGTCCTTAAACTATTTCAGGGGTGTCACATAGGTCCTCGAACTATGAAAATCGTCATTTAGGTCCTCAAAGTACAGTAAGTGTATCATCCAGGTCCAAAATCTCACTAACCCCCCTCTAAATAGCCAGCTGGCATGGTGAACAGTGCGAAAAATAAAAAAATTATGAACAAAAAAAATCTGAAAATCTTTGGCATCAAAAATACCCCTGTTGCGTGAATAGTAAAAATGTTCATTAATTCATAAAAATGCTTGCGAATATGCGAAAAATATTTGCGACTTTAAAAAAGTTCACAAACAATAAATTTGAAAATATGTTCACGAACCACAAATATTGTTCGTGGGTATGAAAAAAAATGTCCGCGAACCACAAAAAATCATGACTTTAAAAAATGTTACTGAACTTTTTATTAAAGTCGCAAATATTTTTTCTGAATTCATCGTTCACGAACATTTTATTAAAGTCACGAATATTTTTCCAAATTCATCGTTCGCGAACATTTTCTAAAGTAACGAATATTTTTTCCAAATTCATGT